CACACACACACACACACACACACACACACACACACACACTCCTCTGTACATAGTCACCCACACACACATGCACACGCATACTGTTCCCTGTTCTCACATACCTCATGCTGACTACCAGCATGTAGGGTTCATAGTTGGGCCCCTTCAGGCCAGCATTGGAGCCTTGAACTAAAGACGCGGCGGCTCCCTCACTCCACTCACACATCCAAACACGGATTACATACATTCCAACCAAATTGTGGCATTAACACACCCCCGCTTTTGAAACCAGTGTGTGTATACATGCGCATGTGTGTTTATGTGTAAGAGCAAGAAAGAAAGAATAAATGTATGTACTGAAGTGTGAAAGTGTGAAAAATTAAATGTCTGTTAGCAAGCATTAGTGTGTGTGAGTAAATGGAATGTTTGTGTGTGTGCACTTGTAAATTTCCCCCCTCTTTATGAAGTGGAAAACATAAGCTGTGTTTAATTAAAAACAAGCCAGTCTTCACTTTGAAAGCTTTTTAGGCTTTTTATCATAATCTTGCCAGCGGCAACACTTTACATACATGAAACACCCCCTTCATAAATAACGACGCTGTTATTGAGTTCTAAAAAGCTGTTACAAGCTATTATAAAATAATAATATACCATATGCTACTTAGTGTCTCTATAAATTGAGGGTCTAGTAACTGAAGGATTTAGTGCACTAAAAAAGCCATAAATATCTACAAACATACACTGCTGTTCAAATGTTTTGGGTCATAGTGGTGCGATCTTTGAATATTTTTGAAAGAAGTCCATTATGCTCACCAAATGCATTTATCTGATCAAAAATACAGTAGTATTGTGAAATATTATTCTATCTATTTTCTATGTGAATATATTTTAATATGCTGATTTGTCGCTCAAGAAACATTTTATTATTGTCAATGTTGAAAACAGTTGTACTGTCATGACAATTTTTTCAGGATTCTTTGATGAATAGACAGTTCAGAAGAACAGTGTGTGTGTAACATTATAAATGTATTTACTGTCACTTTTGATTAATTAAATGCATACTTGCTAAATAAAAGTATAAATTAAAGTATTTCTTAAAAAAAGACCCCAAACTTTTGAATGAAATAGTGTACTTTTAAACGGGTTCGAAACACACCGCTAAAGCTCGTGCAAACAGATAGTCCCGCCCCTAACTCAGCGCCACTGGTTGAGCCATTTTTGCTGCATCAGGCTGGTCAAACAACAAGTCAGATAATTAATATTCATGAGCAAGGCTGATAAGTTATACATTGCCTTTCAAGATCATTTCTGCACCCCTGATTGTATGTGTTTGTTTTTTTCATGATGAAATAATGATGTTTTCCTTTTTCCTGCGCAGAAAACAAATCCCCCCCTCGGTCATTTGGACTGAACCATTCTGACTCGTTAAATCGTAGCGAGCGGATTGAAGCCATCACACCGTCACTGGGCAGCAGTAACCACCAGCTCAATGCCTTCCTGCAGATGTATGTGCCGGACTATTCTGTCAGAGCTTTGTCAGACGTACAGTATATTAAGGTAAACAGAATTGCTTAAACACACCAGCTCACTTTCAGTTTCTGCACATTTTCTTGTCATTACAACCAATATACCCAAAACAAAATCATGTAATTCTTCAGAAGCCATTAATTGCACATTTTTTATACCATTGCGGCACCCATTGTTTGGCTTGGGGCTCAGACTAGGGGTCCTCAACTCTGAATCTCAAGATTCACTTTCCTGCAGAGTTTAACTCCAGCCCTAATCAAACACACCTGAGCAAGCTGATCAAAGTTGCAGTATAGGTGTGTTTATTCCAGTTTGGAACTAAACTCTGCAGGAAACTGGATCTTGAGGTCCAGAGTTGTGGACTCCTGGTCTAAACTGTGGCCCAATGGCTGTAGTCCATTGGCAGATTGTGGCTATGGCTGAGTGATGAACATGGACTGTGGCTCAGTTACAAACCAATGGCTTTGGCTCAGAGACAAATGTGGATTTGAGTGTTAGCACTGGGATAGATATGGACTTGGGCAGTGGGTAGGGGTCTGTGGCAGATGGAGACATGGAATGAATGTTCCAAAAGAGGGTTTTCACATCGATTCCATAAAAGAACCATTTTATGGTTCTTTGGGGGACCATTCGTTATCATCACTAATTCCAAGTATGGGTCACCATACTTGGCCACATGTCATGTCACTTTAACTTTTTTTTCACTTTCACTTTTTAGGCTCCCCAAATAACCTTTCAGTGAAAAAATTTTTTTTTTCTTAGTGTGTGGAACATTTTAATATTCTGAAGAATCCTTCCCCTCTATAGAACCTTTTGTGCTATGGAAAGGTTCCATGGATGTCAAAAGTTATTCATGGAAACACGACGAGGGAGACACATTCCCATTTACATCTGCTGTTTTAATCCAGACTACTTGCTTAAAATGATAGAAATATCAGTTGTCACTCTGTATCTCCAAATAATATCTTAGTAAGACGATATTTAAATGCTTAGTTGGATCAGAAGCATGACATAACCAATCATGGTAAAGTGGCTTTACAAGGCAGGATGTAGTTTATTTTTAATAAGGTCATTTATCATTTCAGTCTGATATACAGTAAACACTTTATGTGGTTATGAGGGAGTAAAAAAACTACACTGGGCATGTTTCTTTTTGAGGGTAAAAGAGAAGAGTGGACGATGAGCAGATCATTTTGAAATTCCAAAATAAAAGACATCAGAACCAATTTCCAATGGAAATACCAATTTCATATTTCCAGGTTCTCAAAAGTGCAAGTCATCATCGTTTGGTAAACTTCTATCGTGGTGAATGGAAACTACAACAAATATCATTTTTGGTTTGTCCCAATAGCAAATGAAAAAATCCATGTATTTCTATGACTTTGCAAAAGAGAATGAGAGAATGGCTACATTGAATGTACAATCTAAATTCACACTAACCTTATTTTAATTATTTTGTCTTGTTTTAACCCAGTTTGTTTGTAACCCCCTTTTCTGTGTGTTATTGACAGGTAACGCGCCAGCAGTATCAGAACGCCATCATGGCGTCACGCATTGACAAGACGCCACAGTCCGCTGAGAGTGAGTACACCAAAATCGAAATGACTTTGACAGACCTCCATGATGGAGTGACTGATGAAACCACCACCCTGTTCAACCAGACACAGAACTGTGTGGCCCACAACAAGACGAACCACACAGGCCACAGCGAGGGGGCCATCTAGCCCTCAGTGGGGTGGTGGAGCAAAGCGGATGCTCACCACCCCAACCCACTCCACTCTTGTAGTGCACTACTACTACTGGGACCTGAGCTTGGGTTGACCCAAGGCAAAATGGGATACTCCAGTGACCCGGTCCGGTCCCATTCATTCAGATAAACCACGGCGTTTATGTCCCCCAGACTATAAGAGTTTGGAGGATGGATGTTTTTGTGCTCTGACGAGCCCCTAGCTACACTCGAACTGCCCGTGATGTTCACAAACACAAAAGAAATACTCCAGATGCAGATGCTGTAATAGGGTAAATCAAAGACTGTTCCAAATACTGCTTTGAAGGAAACCGTGAACCGTGAACCAAGAGCATTCTACTCACATATTTATTTATTTTGTATGCATTTGTACATACATGCATGTCTGAGGATATAATTGTCGGCACATGCAAGCACCAGTCTGTAAATTGTGCATGTGTATGTGTGTGCCTCTATGAGTGTCACTGATATCATGCACATGCTATATATATATATATACATAGTCACAAATACATTATTGTATATGTACCGGTGAGGGTCTTTTACAGGTATATTTCAGAAATGCTTATTTTTATTGTTCTAAATCTGGTATATCCCATAGTACCTTTTACACCTTTTTAAAAAATTAATCACTCTATTGCCTTAAAAAAAAATCATATTAATTTTTTAACAAGTGCAATGAAACACATTTTATTTAAAAGATGATTTATCATGATTACTGTATTGTACATTATAGTCCTATTTGTATGCATGTATTGTATCACATTTGTATATTTGGTCTGAGATATTTTGGATTCACTTCCAAGGATGAACAGGTCCTATTTGTCTGCTTTAAAAAATGTTATTCTATCAAAGGCACGATAACTCTACATTTAAAGCTGAAGGCAGTCTTATTTAAATTAAATGACAGACCTGTCAGGACTTTATGCAAGGGAGAATCAACATGCATCCGTGTGATTCCTAACTGAATCCAGGCTGTAACAAAACGAGTCTTTACCACATCATTAAAACAACTACTACATTAAATTGTTCTACCCATCATGCGTCTGTAAGAAAGGTGCCATAGTGTTTAAAGGGCTGTACTTGAGTGTATTACCTTTATGTATATAATGTTGACTTTAATTTTTATTTATATGAATGCTGGAAACTCCTGCTATGCATATGTGTTTAAAATTATACACATTTATACACACAAAATTCAAATTTGCTGAAAATGTACTCACCCTAAGGGCCATCCAAGGATGTAGATGAGGTTGTTTCTTCGTGGAAACAGATTTGAAGACATTTCGCAATGGATCCTCTGCAGTGAATGGGTGCCGTCAGAATGAGAGTCCAAAATATTATTCGTATCATATAATAATGTTGCTTTCTCCAGTGAAAAACTTATCTTGTCTGAATCAGGAGAGAAATATGCACAGATCAAGCACTGTTTACATGCAAAAACAGCTCTAAACAAATATGTTGGTGGATTTTGATGTGAGAGTACAATGGGGGGTGAATTTTACTGGAGACAGCAATATTATGGCTTATAAACTAATATTTTGGCCAGAAGCAGTGGTTTAAAGTAAAAAAAAAAAAAAAAAAAAAAAACCTTGATGGATTTGTTTCTTACAAACATGCAGCTTTGCACTTCACAAGACGTGGATAAATGTGGATGTGGACATATTTGTGGATTATTGTGTTTTTATCAGCTGTTTGGACTCTCATTCTGACGGCACCCATTCACTGCAGAGGATCAATTGGTGAGAATTGGACGTAAAGCTACATTTCTCCAAATCTGTACTCATGAAGGAACAAAGTCATCATCTTGGATCGCATGAGGGTGAGAACATTTTCAGTAAATTTTCATTTTAGGGTGAACTATTCCTTTAACGATGAACCACTTATATTGTCTCCTTTGCCATACTTTTTTTCTTTTTCTTTTTTGACCCAACCGCCAAGATCATCAAACAGCATACAACTTATTCCTATATGTTGTTATAGGTGGCAGCTGCGTGACCCTGTTTCTACAATGTCAGACTTTGTGGTAAAACTGATTCAGGCAGCTTTTAAGACATTGCTCTTGATGTTTTCATGTGTTCAAATGCTTATTTGAACCACAATAGAGCAACAACAGTAATGCATTACTTGCATTATTTATACATGGGTCAGTACCACAGGCAGCCACTGCTTGGCACTGTGGTCTAACAATTTAGCCTAAACCTAGACCAGGTTGTAATCTTAAAACTGTTTTTCTTTATACCAAAGATTTTACTTGAGGTGAGATCAGAGATTGTTGGGCTTTATTTAGTAAATTAAAGCCATCGTTTTTTTTTTTTTTTTTGCAAGACAGATGCTCTTGTGGGGTTAAATACAGGTTCTGGCTTTTTAATTTTTTTTCTAATTTGCTTTGTTAATGAATTGTAGCTACTTTGTAACTAAAATGTAAACCCTAGGGAGAAAACATGGTTCTAGAAAGTGCTATTAAACATTCATCGGTTTCACTGTGGTACTGTGGTCTTTGTGCTCTTCTTTCCTAAAAATCAACTGGTCGCATTTTTTTAAACGAAATCCTACAATTGTATAAGCTTAAACTGTCCTAACAACAGATGTACATACAACATGATATTTCGGTCATCACATCACCCTGGTAACTGTGTCCATTGTTTTAGCTGCATATTAAACATCAAATATATTCTGACTGACTGATTGTTACATCCCAGGATTTTTGCTTTCAGATGATCTGTCAGGACTGGTTAGGACAGCGTACGGCTCATGTTGCTCAAGAAACTGGTTTGTTTGAATGTTTCACATCATGTTCCAACATTTATTTTGTAATATGCAGCATACATATGTGAAGTGGTATTTTAGACAAATGTCACTGTGGAAATCAGTAATAGAATCTGAATGGCCAGCGTATTGTCCTGTTGCTCGTTACGTATCATCCTGGTTTAGGCTAGTTAGCATGCCATGTTCTTCTTTATTCTAAAACAGAAAACCTGCTATGGCATATAAATGTAGTTAAATGCTAACGAAGTAAACAAGACAGGAGACCAATAGTTATTATGGAAAATTAGTTTTATTTGACATTGCAACGCAATTTCCTATATGTATAAGTTTAGAACTATAAATCAGAAGCTATAATAATTCAGGGAACAATGAAATCGGAGACATGAAATCACATGCCCTAAACAAACAACGAAACGAAACAAAACAAAAAATTGGATTCATAAATGCCATGTCTATTTTGCTAGATCTCTTTTACAGACAGCAGTTTTGCACCTTTTCCTTTCGCTAAACTGAAAACTAGAAAATAAAGTCACAAAAAAGTAATTAATTCAAAAAGGTAAAAAAAAAACCCAGAAAGGAACAAATACTCAGTATATTAGTAAGTTATTGGCACAATTAACTGTTTTCTGTAAACTATGCCAAAATATAATATGAAAACATTGGTTCAAACAGAGATATATGCAATGCTACCTATGACTATACTGATGAGACCTTCACCCATTAAAGATGTATCTAGGATACACTACTGGGAAAATTGGACGAATATTGTTTAAACTTAAAGCACTTTCTATTATATTATTTTTTTAAATATAATCTAAGCCAGTTTCCCTTGCATAGACAACTAAAAAGGACAACTGCCAACACTAGTGCAAATTAGCCCAGGACTAGTTTTAATCCATGTCCAGGGAGCTGGCCATATTATGTATATATATACACACACCCACACCACTGAGTTTTTATATAAAAAGCTAATGAAAACAGGAAAGAAAGATACTGCATCTTTTTTTAGGACATAAAAAACACTTTCTCTATACTGTGGTCTCTAAAGAACCAAGAACAAGTATATTTTGAAAGAGCTGCCCCGTTTTAGGATGTCCAGTTGTTTTTACACAAAAAACTGACAAATAAAATATGCATTGTATGTTTAAAAACGTCTCTTTAACTGATTCCTTGGAAACCGACTTTTGAAAACCTAGAAACCATTTTTGGGCCTCACCAAAACCCTTTATATTTTAGACCTACTTGGTCTTCCCTTTTAAAAACTGACAGTCAGACCTATGGAAAAAAACAAACAAAAAAAAAAACTACATTCTTATAAAATAAAAAAAAACATACAGTTACAATATGCATACGAGTAATACACATTACACTATGGATTGGGTAGCTTCATTCAAACAGATCCTACACACTATCTCTGAGTAATGCATATAAAAGTCACACTAATCATCCAAATCTACATGTTTCATGCACTTGAAACACTTCCCACAGCTAAAACCACTTCCTCTCTAAACCGTGATCCACCATTATACTCAAAAAATAATGTTTATTTCTTTAAAAACTCCACATACTTGCTGTGGGGACAACCTAAAAGTCTCTAATGGGACCCTTGAAGCTAAACCGAACACAATTTCTCAACACCGTTTGGTCCACATAGGAGTAAACCATTGACAGAGTTCAAACATTATCCAGGACTGCTTTAATTTCTATAAAAACATTTACCAAAGCAACAGCACTTTCTTTCTCAACCTATCATCTTCACAATGTCCAGCTGTTTACTTCATTGTACTTCTTCTCTCAATGACTTTTCATTTACTGATGTGTAATAAGCTGCTCAGGCCATAAAACACAGTTTTTATAAATATTTTTTTGCATATCAAGGTCACTTACTATATGATATTTGAATAGTTTTCTTATGTGAGGCAGATATTAATGGCATGTGTAATGTTTGAGACAAAACTAGAGTGTTCTGTTTAGCTTATATAAGAGTATAAAAATACAGTATGTCATTGTTCAATGTGACATTGTTGCCAAAATTAGAGCAGGTACTGATATGATGTCTCTCATTTTGCGCCCTAATACACGAGGCATCTGTTTGCTACTCTGTAGCATTAGCGCTAACCAAAATGTCTGCATTAAAATAGATGAAAACCAAAAGGTTAACAACAAACCTCTAAAAAAAAGCAGCTGCATGCTGTTGCCAAGTAACTGGATTCTTGTGTTGGCTACACTTCCATACACACGTCACAATGAACCGTGCTTCGGTTTTCTGTGCTTCATTCAGATTCTCAACACACGGGACTTCAACACAAACACCTTGCCAACATACAAAGCTTTAAAACACAAGAGTTTTTTTTAAAGGAACAGTCTTTGCAGGAGGTAGTAACCAAGCTAATCTGACTGAATGGACTGGCTACTTAAAAAGTTGCCTAAACTGTTAAAAACTATAAAACAATAGTAAAATATGACTATAACGTGTATCTGTATGGATCCAATAACCAACTTTAACACTTGTCCTAACAGGCTTGGATTTTCTGAGTCTTTGCCAGCATGCTGTCTGTAGCATGATGCATGTAAACTCATGAGTTTTACCATCAGTTCACAGTAAACTGTTTCCATAGGATGTTTATCACATGACATTATGTGCTTTTATAGTGACTGATAAACAATTTTGTTTTTGTTTTTTGCATAACTTATGCATTAGTTATCTTTAATGGAGGAAACTGTCAGTTCGGGTGAACTGAAGTCTGGTAAGCTTTTTGAGCTTGGTTTGGCAATTATAGTCTACTTCATCCATCCACCTCACACGATATCCTCATCACTCTATCATCATCACCCTACAGATCTTTACCCTAGGATAGGTCAAAACATCTACTCTTCCTCCTCCTCTTCGTCGTCATCTTCGTCGTGGCAGTGTGTGATTTCCTGCGGCGGCTGAGCGAACAGGTGGGGCGGTTTGATTTCGCTGATGGAGCGTGTGAGCTGGTTTCTTTTACAGTCGATGTCCTTGCAGTCCACACAGTGGCGGTTGCGTGTGGCCAGAGCAGACTCGGTATCTGTGTCTACGTGAGTGTGCTCCACTGTGGACTCATGGGGCATCTGGGACAGAGAGAAGAGGAGACAGAAACAAATATGTAAACAGGTATGTTAAATAGGGCGCTTGGCACAGAAGAGAGAACCAAGTGAACAGGACAAATGTGGGTGTGTATGGGTGTGTATCCTGTAGGCAGTATTCTGGTACTCATTTCAGAAACATGTAACAATACTAGTCTTTTGTTAGTACCGAGTACTCGATTAGGCACTTGCAATTATGCCTAGTGCTTGGGTTCGGTGAGATTTTTTTGTTTTTGTTTTTCAAAGAAGTCTCACCAGGGCTGCATTTATGTGATCAAAATACAGTAAAATCAGTAATATTGTAGAATATTATAACAATTTCAAATAACTGTTTTCTATGTAAATATATATTAAAAATTTAATTTATTCCTGTGATGCAGTAAAATTTTCAGTGTCACAAGATCCTTCATAAATTATTCTAATAGAAACATTCCTTATTACTATCAATGTTGAAAACGGTTGTGCTGCTTATTATTTTTGTGGAAAAGTTTTTTATTTTATTTTTTATAACAGAATGTTCAAAAGAACAGAAAATGATTGTAATAATGTACAAATCTTTGCTGTCTCTGTTTGATGCATCCTCGCTGAATAAAGGAATTAATTTCTTACAAAATAAAAACAAAACAAAAAAACTCACATGCACTATTCATGGTCAAAATGCCAAAAGATATTAACATAAACACAGTCGGTCTGGTGAATATAAACTGAAAAATATCAATATATCTAGCCATGTTTTGTATTAAATCATTGTATTAAAAATATCAACATATCTAGCCATGTTCAATTAACTGAGAAATATAACATTTAGGGGTAACACTTTATTTTAAAGTGCCGTTGTTACACGTTACATGTATTTACTATTATAATAACAATAAATTATGCATAATTACATGCAAGTAACCCTAAGCCAAACCCTAATCCTAACTCTGACCATATAGTAATACATGTAGTTAATTAATATTACTCGGTACTTAAATGTATAATTACACTGTAACGAGGACACCTTAAAATAAAGTGTAACCCATTTAAGCTACATACATTTTTTTTCCATTTATATTGAAGACATTAATTGTTTCTATAATATTTTGAAATGGGTATCTGCTATTGTGAACTTCCACTGGTATTTGTATCAATCCAGCCCTGTGTTTATGGGTGGGTGTGTGTCCTCACCAGCACGTGAGCGGCTCTGAACAGGTAGCTGAAGGGGTAGTAGAGCAGGTTGATGAATGAGGCAGCATACAGGTCAGCGTAACGCATCACCTGAGACGCAAACAGAGTCTGGTCATGTCAGTCTTATGCACACCCCTTCAAGTAAAGTGTTACCAAACATTTGTTGTTCATTATGACAGAAGGACACTTAATTTCCCAGAATCCTCTAATTTACTGAATACTATTATGGTGTGTTATGGTGTATAATTGCTGTAATTACTAGATGACTCAAAAGTTCTACTCAGAGCTGTTCACGTAGGCTACTCTGACTCAGAATGTCTACGTGAGTGTGCTCCACTGTGGACTCATGGGGCATCTGGGACAGAGAGAAGAGGAGACAGAAACAAATATGTAAACAGGTATGTTAAATAGGGCGCTTGGCACAGAAGAGAGAACCAAGTGAACAGGACAAATGTGGGTGTGTATGGGTGTGTATCCTGTAGGCAGTATTCTGGTACTCATTTCAGAAACATGTAACAATACTAGTCTTTTGTTAGTACCGAGTACTCGATTAGGCACTTGCAATTATGCCTAGTGCTTGGGTTCGGTGAGATTTTTTTGTTTTTGTTTTTCAAAGAAGTCTCACCAGGGCTGCATTTATGTGATCAAAATACAGTAAAATCAGTAATATTGTAGAATATTATAACAATTTCAAATAACTTTTCTATGTAAATATATATTAAAAATTTAATTTATTCCTGTGATGCAGTAAAATTTTCAGTGTCACAAGATCCTTCATAAATTATTCTAATAGAAACATTCCTTATTACTATCAATGTTGAAAACGGTTGTGCTGCTTATTATTTTTGTGGAAAAGTTTTTTATTTTATTTTTTATAACAGAATGTTCAAAAGAACAGAAAATGATTGTAATAATGTACAAATCTTTGCTGTCTCTGTTTGATGCATCCTCGCTGAATAAAGGAATTAATTTCTTACAAAATAAAAACAAAACAAAAAAACTCACATGCACTATTCATGGTCAAAATGCCAAAAGATATTAACATAAACACAGTCGGTCTGGTGAATATAAACTGAAAAATATCAATATATCTAGCCATGTTTTGTATTAAATCATTGTATTAAAAATATCAACATATCTAGCCATGTTCAATTAACTGAGAAATATAACATTTAGGGGTAACACTTTATTTTAAAGTGCCGTTGTTACACGTTACATGTATTTACTATTATAATAACAATAAATTATGCATAATTACATGCAAGTAACCCTAAGCCAAACCCTAATGCTAACCCTAACCATATAGTACATGTAGTTAATTAATATTACTCGGTACTTAAATGTATAATTACACTGTAACGAGGACACCTTAAAATAAAGTGTAACCCATTTAAGCTACATACATTTTTTTTCCATTTATATTGAAGACATTAATTGTTTCTATAATATTTTGAAATGGGTATCTGCTATTGTGAACTTCCACTGGTATTTGTATCAATCCAGCCCTGTGTTTATGGGTGGGTGTGTGTCCTCACCAGCACGTGAGCGGCTCTGAACAGGTAGCTGAAGGGGTAGTAGAGCAGGTTGATGAATGAGGCAGCATACAGGTCAGCGTAACGCATCACCTGAGACGCAAACAGAGTCTGCCGAGAGCCACTGCGGAACAGACTTCCCATCATCCCATAGCACATGTCCATATCATGAGTCACTTTCTGATGACAGAGAAAATCACCAAATCAACATGTCAGTGTTACTTTTTTAAGGTGTTGGTTTTATTTTTAGTTTTAGTTGACAATAATAACCCTGTAACATTTAATACACAGTATAACATCACTCTAGTAGTCTACTAATGTTATCTATGGACAACACACGTGGTGGGCTGTTGATTACCATGGAATTAAATTTACAAGACTTATGAGCTACCATTACAAGCTTATTTACTGGAAACACATTTCTTGAGCGCATGTCACATATGCTGTTCATAAAAACAAAATAAGCCAGAATATTTCTAAAATTTAAAATCATTTCAAGTTATTGACACTTGGTAAGTCCATACTGTCAACTAAGATAAAAGTTCAGCCGTTTCACATCTAGTAAAATCAGATATAACTGAAATGTTCGGAATGCGAGTGTGTGATTAAGTGTGTCTACTTTCACTCTTCTCTGGATGGCACTGATATCTGGCCTCTCATTGCTGCTGCTGTCCAAATGCCTACAGAAAGAAAGAATGTGAGTGAGAGAAAAGCAATTCGATGGATTTAAAGTGAAAAAGAAGTGAAAAGGGGGAAGGGACAGACATCAGCTGGAGTCAGAAATCGAGAGGTCACTGAGTTAAAGTCTTTGCTTATCAACAGGTGAACTCTCTCAATCTGTACCCTGTACAGCGAGCTTGTGCACCAATCAGAATTGAGCAACTGAACTGCGAAATTCTTTTATATTCCAATGTAATTCTTAAATTTGAATTTAATTTGAACTGAGGTAGAAAACACAATGCAAAAATCGAATAAAGGGAGCATGAAAATGGAATGAAATGAATACAGCTGCTGTAAGTGTAAGTGATTTAAATAACAAATGTAACTTGTCACTAATTTCCCATATACATTATCACACACACAACATATGGATTATTTCTAGAAACATTAGATTATATTAATAATCAGTATAAAAAAAAAACACCTATAGAAGCTTATACAATTTTTTAATTAATCACGTAGGCTACTCTGACTCAGAATTATGCATTTCTATGTCAACACTATTAACACCAATATGAACTGGTGTAATTTGAATAATCAACAAACAAAACCACAATACAACACCTAACAGTCGATATGGAAATGCCTTGTTTATATATTTTTGTATTAGTTTATCACGCAGAACATTATGCATTAGTTATCCAGCTCTGTGCTAGCTATTTTAAAACGGCATTGTATGTGTTCTATTTTCAGATTAGTCTTGCATTAAAACATCAGAATTGATAATTATACAGTCAGACAATCCTAGGAATCATTAAACTGAAATATTATGAGATAACTACTCAACCACATTTTACTGCTGAACCTTTATTATAGTCATATAATATATTCAAACTGTAAAAGTCAACATTTATTTTTATAAAGCCATCTAAAAACAACATGATGGATATTTTGTGAATGGTAAATCTGTGTTGTTGGCTGTGTCTTTTTTTATAATTGCAATTCAGTCAAGTCCACTTCCTGTCAACAACTAGCAGGGTCCATTTCTAAATTCTGAACACACACACACACACACACACACACACACACACACACACACACACACACACACACACACACACACACACACACACACACACACACACACACACACACACACACACACACACACACACACACACACACACACACACACACACACACACACACACACACACACCTGTGCTGAGGAAGGAACAGAGGCAGCTTTACTCACTTGTAGAGTTCTGCCAAGAAAATGTCCAAGCCCTGCAGTTCCTCGAACAGAGCTGTGAATGAGAGGGCAGAACCCTGTCATGATTGGGTTTCACATCTCTTTTTCTTAGCCTTTCAAGTGTGACATCTCATCTCACTCTTTCTCTTTCTCTGTGTGAGCATTCCTTTCTTTACTGAGATTCTCACAAGAAGGTCTTTTTCACACTACACACATAAGCGTAACTGTGACAGCAGGCACACATTGTGCTTTCACAGTGACAGAACTGCAGCTCTATCCAGAATATAAAGTAAGTTATAGGTTACAACAGTAATATTTCCTGTAGTAATGGCCATACTTTATAAAATGGTTATTGGAATTTGGCCATTCATAATTATTACAAAACTGGTGATAAAATATAATTTAAATGTGAAAAGGGATTACATTTACATCCAAATGGTAATAAATCTACATGGAACACCATAAACTGCTATAAAAACCTATGTTGCAAAAGACTGCATTGATGAATAGGTTTACATTAACATAGAATATTCACCACATGAACAACTGCAAGTAGTTCAGCACCTACTTGCAGTTATGCAACACCAGTGTGCTTACAGCAACAATGCTGTAACCTGTTATTATGGGCACCCAAAATAAATATGTGCTGCTTGTTACGTGCAGTGTGAAACAGGCCAATGGCTGATTTTACTGATCTATGGCAACACTTACAGCTTTTGTCTGTCCAAACATGCAGCTCCTGAGCCAATTCAGGAATCACCAGGAACGTCCGCCAACCCTGACGCTTCTTGGACTTAAGAATATCTCCAAAAATGTGATCCCCAATGTACACAATATCCTTCCCTTTTGCTCCAAGCAGGTCACACACAATGTCAGAAGAACCTGGGCGGAGATGAAAACACATGTCAGAAATGACTAATTTTCACATATACATAAGGCATACTCAATACTCAGCATAGAAAAAGCTGCATAATGAACTCCTTTTATTACAATATTTGCTCTTCCAATGTGATTTTATGCTTTTGTTTTTTCAGCCTTGATGTCCAAGCAACAGCAATATGAGAATTTTAATATTTATCATAGCACAATTTAAATCACAATCATTTTATTTGTAAAAAAGAATCTCAGTATGACGTGATTTATTATGAATATCAATGCTATTGCTGATTTTAGTGAAACAGAACTAAGGTTAACACTTTACACTAATAATATTCATTCTATTTTGATGCATTAACTAACATTAACTAACAAGGAACAATTCATTTGTTACAGTCATTATAAATATTGGTAGCACTTTATTTTACAGTCATGTTCTACATGTACATACTATGTTATAGTAATTACAATAACTGGGTAATAACTAGGTACTAGTCATGAATCTAAACCTAACCTTAACCCATGTAGTTACCTTATATTACCCAGTACTTTCTTTGGTAAGTACACATACTGTAAAATAAAATGCAACTTTAATCTTTGTTAAAGTTAGTTAATAAAAATACAGCTCTTTATTGTTAGTTCGTGTCAGCTCAGGTTTATTAAAAAATATTAAGAGAACTTTTGATTTTAATAATACATTAGCAAATGTTGAAATGAACATTAACTAAGATTATTCAGTGCATCAGAAGTATTTTTCATGTTAACTAATGCTAACTAATGTGAGTATTACTGGACTAAGTGACTGTACACATGCAGTGAAAAATCATGTGATAAAGTGTAGTAAACCAGATGTCCTTGTGATCTATGTGTATGGACCTTGAGGAGATACATCTGTGTGTATGTGTGTGTTTGTTTGTCCATACAAGTATATAAATTCCTAATTAATGCTGTTCAGTTGCTTTGACACAATCTGTATTGTTAAAAGTGCTATATAAATAAAGGTGACTTGACAAGTGTGTCATTTGCATCTTTATCCAAGAATTTCCAGTACCTCCAGAGTAAACAATGCCATGTTGTAAAGGTCCAGTGTATGTTCCTATTTTCAGCCGGCCTGTAGTCTGTGATAGAGAACATATTGATTAATATTCAGACTGTCTGAATATTCATTCCATGTACTTCAGTGGTTCTCAACCAGGGGTCCAGGCCCCACTCAACACACTTCCAAGGGGCCCACAAGTTGACTTAAAATAGGAAAAACAAGCTTTAAAATAAGTTAAAACATGAAAGGTTGTGCAATTTAAAATAATAATAATAAAAAGTCATGAAAATGTTTCTAGTTATGCAAAGCTCTAAAATAATTTATTGTGTAGAAATACCAAAAATATCTCTGGTGGCCTTTGAATATTGTCTTAAAAGATGGGGGTCTTGGAGTCAAAAAGGTTGAGAAACACTGATAAACATCATTACTGTTGCCTATTTTTGTCAGCACAAATAAATAACAACTCACAAAGAATAAATCGTGCCTGTCCGACTCACTAAATTAACTATGTAAATCAGGGAATGGTTCAAATACACCCACAAAACAAGAACTCAGAGCAATTTTGCATTTTGCACTGCTCGTTTTGCATCTTGTTGGGGTTACAGACAGGTTTTTGCCCTGAAATATCTTTCTTAGAAGTGGCACAACTGTTCAGTGAACCGTTTAGCTGCTTTACACTGCAAAGGGATGACAGGAAAGAGATTTTTTCTATTGTGCTCAGCAGACTTCAGTATAAACACTCAATACTCAGCGCTGACTAACCTTCTGTGTGATCGTGTTCAGCAGGATAAAATGTTCCAGAATGTGCAATACTGCACCTGCTGACTTTGAGAGAGCTTTTCGTTTGATGTACTCACCGTATCCACCTGTCTTAGAACAGTTCCCTCTCCAAAAAATAAAGGCTTTCGAGCATCTACTAGGATGAGGTCGAAGTATGATTGCCATGGACGGTGTGAAGTGCCATGCTATAACATTAAACATTACAATGAGCAACAATATATGACAGGAAACTCTTTTGAAAGGTTTAATGACAGGCTGAAAAAACAATGTCAATACCTTTGGGCCATGGGGGAAGTCAAACAAGTACGTCATAATTTTCTGTAAAACAAATCAAAACAAAAACATGATGGTTTGTATGTGTCCAAGTTTTAAACAAACCAGTTGCATGTGCAGTTGTCTATTGCTCTGATTTAAAACCTAGTGAGCTGCATACAAATGGATTTTTAAAGGCACAAAGCTGTTCGAAAATCATAGCTTAACTATACTGCCTACTAAGATTTAGATTTATTTAGCAAATGTATTTAGATTTATTTAAGGTGTAAGTTTACACACACTGTTTTTCTTATTTTAATCTGCATTCAAGAAAGAACTATTATTTTTTCAACAATTTTTATTTTTTTAGCCCTCAAGTCTTGGAAACTGGAAATATGAGGGAATTTTAAAAATGTGTTTTGTTGACAAGAAAATATAACTGAAATTTAAAAAAAAAAGCTGTAAAAATTTATTGGGTAGATATTGAGAAATTGGTATTTGTGGGTAAAAAAATAAATAAAAAAGATTTATCAAACTGCTAAAAGCTCAAAATTGTAATGCAAGCGGACATTGTATTTCTTATTTTATTTTGTTCCCAACAAACAACTGTCATTTTTATTTATGAAATATATATGGTAGTACATTTTCTAGTAAATTGCTATTTGTACGTAAAAAGCCAGAAATGTTCATAAAAAAGGTAGTTGAGCGTAGCACCATATTTAAAATTTGACAAAAATGAAAACAAGGCTTAGGGACAGAAGTACAATGCATTTAAAGAGTTAGTTCACCCAAAAATGAAAATTCTGTCTTTAATTACTCACCCTCATGTCATTCTAAACCCGTAAGACCTCCGTTCATCTTCGGAACACAAATTAAGATATTTTGATGAATTCTGAGAGCTCTCTGACCCTCCCATAGACAGCAATGTACTTACCACGATCAAGGTCCAGAAACGTAGCAAGGAGATCTGTAAAATGATCCATGTGACATCAGGGGTTCAACCGTAATTTTACAAAGCTACGAGAATACTTTTGTACGCAAAGAAAACAAAAATAAAGACTTTATTCAACAATTCGTCTCCTCCGCGTCACCCTCGTGCCATTTTGGAGAATATCCACTGAACGTAAACAGCGTATGCTATTCTGTGTCAGCTGCGTCACGTGTAGGGCTGGGAATCGATTCAGATATCCCGATTCGATTCGATTTCGATTCGCAAGCTCTCGATTCGATTCGATTCTCGATTTTTTTTAAATTACATTCAGTGAATATAGTTAATACAAATGCTATTGATATTTCTAAAAAATTAACAGTAAACATCAGTTTACAAATAGTGAATTAATAAAAAGAAATTAAGAACCACATGCCTGTATTTTAAACCTATTCTTTTTTTTTTGTATAGGGTCCTTTTTAAACAATAGTAGGGCCCTATAAAATGTTCTTAATTTTTCTGGTAATCAGATGAAGGCATAAAACATTAATTTAATTTATAATCAAATGAAAATGAAACCCTTTTATTTTTTTTGGCAAACAAAGTGCTGCACAACAGAGGTTTACTGTTAAAATTAAAAAGAAAACAGATGTGATTATTCCTTTAAAAATAAAGAT